TGGCCTCCAGGACCCCCCCCTTTACAGAATTTCTGGGTGCGCTACTGTAGTGGTCTGAGCCACGCATTGCTCGGGTGATAAGGACATCTCGACGATCTCTTTCTCTGATAATGATGTAGTCAATGAGATGCCAGTGTTTCGATCGTGGGTGTTGCCACGAACCCTGCTTAAACAAGGTATTGGTGATAGTGAGGAGGAGTAGGCATAATAGGCATCCTTGGTGTCATCCTCTGCATCCAGTGTTGGGGCGTATGCACTGATGAAAAAGGCATATATAGTGTGGTATCCCTCCTTGCTACCCACAACATTGAGGAAAACCAAAGTTGACAAGTATAAATACAGAGTGAATAATCTAGGCAACACTGTAATAATAGGGTGTGTCATAGGAGGGAAGATCAGGTAAAACTAATGGCCTATCACTTTTTTGGTAGATTTTAGTGTATATAAACAGAAAATAATTTCAGTTTCAATATTTTGCAACCTTTTGCTAGGTAAATTTTAGCGTGAAATTTATCGAAAATCTAACGTACAGCTGCATTAGTGCATTACAATTAAATAGTGAACATTGCTTTCTGACTTCATTCTTTAACAAACCAACAAACAATATTTTTTTCTGTTTCAGATTCTGATGCATTTATAAGTTGATAATATTTGCGATGGCTGCTTGTGTCAGGACGAGGAACCAAAAATCCAGCCATCTCAGTCACTATCTTGGGTCTGGGAGAGAGCTCCCTGAAGTCGGAGCGTTTACATTGAGAGATGCTTTTGAGATACGGTGTTTTAACTAGGCAAATCAGTGAAAAGAACCAAAGAACTTACACAAACAAAGACATTGCCAGTGATATGACCAAAGCTGTTCTTGGAGACAGTACACTCTTGCTAACGCCATTCAAGCCTCCAGTCATAACAAGTCGAAGAAGATTAGTGAGAGACTGCTAGCCAGTTGGGGAAAAGGCAAGAGATATCTCTCTTGGGGAGAGAAACGGCAGTTAAGGACAGCTTTGCCAAGCAACTGGACCAGTTATTTGACATAATTACTTGCAAGTGCCCAATTGTTCTCTGTCCTGAGTTTGGATGCGATCGTGACTGTAAATCCGAGACCCACATCTGCTGTATTTGCAAGCGTGAACTGAAGATTCCTGTGATCGAACTGGCATTTGTCAAAGCACAGAGAGAGAAGACTGGCAGTATAGGGGCTCTCATGATTTCTAGCCAAGATATTCCGGAGTCCAAGAGACAGGAAGCTGCCACAGAGAGACAGAAGAGGAGAAGAGTTGCCGAGGAAAAGAGACTTGAGAAGGCCCAGGGTGAGGTAAAAAAGGCCGATGATTGGAGTCAAGCTGATTCAGAGTTTAATGACTTTCCCATGGCTGATCCGAGTGCTGACCAGGAGAATGGTGACTTTGTCCCTAACCCAGAAAATAATGATCCCAAACCTTCCAGGCATAAGATTCGAAATAGGAAAGATATCCCGAGCATAGCTTCACAGCATGCGACACCACACCGGTCTCAGAGAAACTGCAGAGATAGCAACAGCTGCCTGGATTGACGGTGGTTTGATAACACCGATGATGTTCACCTGGTGATCATAACAAAGTATGAGAGCTCAGGAGAAACTTGTCAGTAACCTAGAAGAGGAGTTGATAAGGGATAAGAGAAATGGAATCAATTGTTTGTTCTTTGATGGGAGAAGGGAACACTAAAAGTGTTCATGAAAGCTGGAGATCTCTGGATGTTGTTCCCCTGCCATGCAGAAGGAGGAACACTACTCCCTGCTGCAGTGAACTGGTGAGGGAAGTATTTGTGTATTTCACTCCAGAGAAAGATGACATCAGGAAACCAGCTGAGATAGTAAGCAGATAACATTGTGAACTGGCTCAGAGAGAGAACGTAGACCAGACCCTGCAGGCCAGCTGAGGGACAGCACCAACACGAACACAGGGTGGCAAGGGGGCATACAGTGGATAGAGCGGAAGATTGGGAGGAAGCTGGTCTGGATTGTTTGTGACCTCCACACCAACGAGTTGCCACTCAGACATCTGATCCAGGAGCTGGATGGCAAGACTTTTTCAAACAACAGATGGTCTGGTCCTCTTGGCAAAATGCTGGACTCTGCCACTGAGTTAGAAATAAATCCGAGCTTTGAAAAAATCACAGTTGGCCCCCCACTCGTTGAGCTTGCACATACTGTCATTGACGACCTGAGTACTGACCAGTACTATGGTTACATGATTTGCAGCCATCAAACTGGGGTCATGCCTGATAGACTTGCTTTTACCCGCAGATAGGTCCAGTCTCACATTCTAGGTGGCTCACAACGGCTCTCAGGTTCTGCAGAATTTGGGTCGCTCATCATAAACTGGAAAGGAACCAGCTTCACAACCTGAGACCTTATTGTCCAATTCATCGTGAGTGTCTACTTCTGCCAATTTGGTTCAACACCAAGGTCAAGTCATCGTTCTCCGAAGGTCCGAGGCATGTTTTCTTCCAGCTTGAGCTCCTGAGGAGTCAGCCAAGGAAGGTTGTTCAGATTGTGGAGCAGACTGTGAGGAGATATTCCTGGTATGCTCATCCTGAGGCAGTTCTGCAGACAATGCTCTGCAGTAAGGATGAGGAGGAGAGAAGAGTGGCAGTCAAAAAGATCTTGGATATGAGACTTATGAGAGGATCTGGGCATGACGAATCAGTTGGTGACGATTCCTTCAGGGTCAGGAAGACCTACTGATCTCATAGATCTGGATAACATCCAGGCTGGCAGTGAGTTCCTCTACCTGCAGCCTCACCAATGTTCAAGCTGGGAGCTTTCTGACAACCCCATGCATGTCCCTGCCTGGCCCTCGCACACCCAGAGTATAGAGCGCTGTGTACAGCAAGTGAGCGAGGCCAGCAGTCACGTGTACAGCCAGGAGAGGAGGGAAGGCTACATCCGAGCTCAGGTGGTCAGCAGGGAGGTGATGAGTAGAAACAGAAGCAAGAAAGACATGTTCTCTATGGTGTGCAGCAACACCGGGTCGTAGTAGTAAAATCGGTTTTTGTATTTGATGATTTTGTTTTCTAAAGGAATAATAAATTTAATAAATGTGTCAAGATCATTCGTTTCACTATTCTGGATCATTTTCATCCTAATAAATTAACCTGATACATTTACTTTACTTTAAATAAGCTATTTAGTGGTGTTGGTAAAAGGGTGGGAATACTGAATTTTCATAAGATTTCAAGTTAAAATTTACCTAGCAAAAAATGAAAACTTTTCAAATCTGAAGATATCACATGATTCTGCACATAGAACTACATCATTAATACCATGGGCCGATTTTTCAAACTCAAAAAAAAAATTCGCCTCCGTATGACACCTACTGTAATAATAATAATAATAATAATAATAATAATAATAATAATAATAATAATAATAATAATAATAATAATAATAATAATAATAATAATAATAATAATAATAATAATAATAATAATAATAATAATAATAATAATAATAATAATAATAATAATAATAATAATAATAATAATAATAATAATAATAATAATAATAATAATAATAATAATAATAATAATAATAATAATAATAATAATAATAATAATAATAATAATAATAATAATAATAATAATAATACAGTAATAATGAAGAACCATAAAGAAATACTAAAATGAAAAAAAGATCAAGAGTGAGAAAGAGATATCCTACTGGCAAATACGGTGACCCGATCCATCTGGCCAAGGCTGCTGGGATGATACGACGGGACATGCTTCAGCACAAGTCACACTTGAGCAGAACATTTCATGAAGGATGCATTTAACAGGCTGTTCCACCATCACTGCTTCAATTTGTATGCATGATCGAACATGGTACAGATATCAAATCCCAACTCCAGCATGGCGCATCGAAGTCTGACCTTGCTATGTCACAGCTCTTACAGTACAACTGCTTTGCCAACTATAAGGTAGGAACACAAATCCACAGACACTCGAAGGACCATGAGACATCTTTTGCTCTCTACGTCGGCATGTCTGTGTTTGCTAAGACAAGAAACACGCAGCTCATCGACATGCTGCATGAAAATGGGGTTAGCATTTCCTATGACAGAGTTCTACAATTATCAGCCCAGCTAGGAGAAGCAGTTGTATGCCAGTACGTGGAAGATGGAGTGGTGTGTCCACCAATCTTGAGGAAGCAGTTGTTCACGACTTCAACAGTGTACAACATTGACCATAACCCCACTCGACTACGGCCAAAACGTCCTTCCATGGGACCAGTGTATCCATCCTCCAACATCCAAGCCCTGAGTAGGCTGGTAAGGAGCGTGAGCCACTCAGACGGAATGCAGATACGATGGCCAAGAAAGTTCCTGAGCTTCCAGAGGCACTCACCAATGTCCGACCAGCTTATAATATGAAGAATCCCAATCCTTCTTTGGGAGCACCTCAGTCATTGCCAGCACCTGAGTCACTCCAGTCACACCTGCAGGAAGAGTATGCTTGGCTGGAAGAGGTCTTGCTCACTGAGGATGTGGCTGATGAAGTCTGCATCACCATGCAGCACAGAAGAGGAGTCAGCCATTTGAAGTGAGCATTACGTCTCTGCTTCCCCTGCTTCGAAATCAGGCACACTCTGTGGTAACCATCATGCATGTCATGGAAAAGGTTCGTGATACAGTGGCTTTTCTGAACCCAGGTCAGATCCCAGTCATAGCTGCTGACCAGCCACTGGATGCCCTGGCAAAACAAATCCAATGGCATTGGCCTGAGTATGGAGAAGACAGGAATGTTATTATGTTCGGGGGACTTCACATAGAGATGGCTGCACTGAGATCACTAGGAACGCTACTACAAGACTGTGGTTGAACCGGTTCCCTTGTTGAAGCAGAAGCGGCTTCATCTGGTACAGCAGAGTCTTTTCTGTCTGTGTCAAGTGTAACTAAGACAAGACTAGCACATCAAGTCACAGCATGCATCTTGTACAAACTGATGAAGGAGGCATACCAGGTCTATTGCTCTGATGAGTCTGAAAGGTCAACTTTGAGCTTTGAACACTGGTGTAAACAACGGAGGCTTGAGAGTTCACAGTTCCAATTCTGGAACCTTGTGCTAGACATGGAACTCACCATCTTCATGTTGATCCGCCCATTCAGGGAAGGCAATTTCAAACTCTACCTTGAAGCACTCTGAGAGCTAATCCCCTACTTCTTTGCGAACAACAATGTTAATTATGCCCGAAGGCTTCCAATTCACCTTCGAGACATGATGTGCCTTGAGCAACAACATCCAGAGGTAGCGAGGGAGTTCTACAAGGGGAACTTTGTTGTCCACATGTCATGAAGAGAGTTCTCTGCCATTGCTATTGATCAAACCCATGAACAAAACAATGCAGTGATTAAAGGCGATGGAGGAGCAATTGGGTTGACTGAGGACCAGAGATGCAACCAGAAACACAAGAAACACCAGAAAGACTGCAACCAGAGAAGCAAATGCTTTCGCTCTGGACTTTCATGCACAGCACTTTGCAGCTGCATATGTGAACAACAGTAAATGCACAAAGATGTACTGTCAGGTGAAGTCATAGGAACCAGTGCTAATAGTGAGTACTTTTTTTAAGTAAGTTTTTGTTTGTTATATTTTTTTACTAAAAGTGTTATGTTATGTGGTTAAAAATGTTACAATGGACTTCAAACTATAAAAAATCATCAGAGCATGCGTGAAAACATACATATCGACACCAAGATCACACAGATTGACCAACTACATCAATTTCTATAAGAAAAATCAACTTTTCGAGGTCAATATGGAGGCCATCATGAAAAATGGCCGCCATCTTGGATTTTTAAATGGCCAATCAAGCACACTTGACTAGTAACCATTAGAGATTTACCATACCAAATTTGGTGCTTGTATCACCATTTGCACGATTCTCTTCAAAAACTGCATTTAGCTGCCCCACTATTTATTGCATGCAAATTCAGATGTCTGAAGTAGTGTTTACAGACAAGCCCCAAGATATAGTTGGTCATCTGGTAGGTGGTCCTTTACTTTGTTGGGGTCAATTGAATTTATGTCATGTCTATTCAGGCGGTCATGTCTATAAAAAACATTTCAGGTCGCAAGTTTAATTTCAGCTCTGCCTACCATGTGTCACCAACCTCAGGAGAGTCCATTTCCTGGTCCATTGTTTCCATCCTCTCAACATTTCTGTTGTGCATATGCGAGATTTTATTCCGTTTCAGAGATGATATTTCGGCAGACAGATCTGTACGGCATGAACGGCAGTACGCTCTATTGGGGTTGCTCTCGACCCTCCAGTGCCAATCCTTGAATTCCTCATAGTGAAGCCACGCAGCCTAAATGTTCGTTTTGGCGGCATTGTTCATCAGGTTTTTTGAAAAATAGAGTAAATGGGTTAAAAAAGGAACTGAGGGAGAGAGGGAGAAACAGAGAGCAAGACAGAAAAACAAAGGAAAAAAGATAGAGGGGGATGATGGGATATAATGAACAATCAAATTCAATATATACCCATTATATTGACAATGAGAACCAATGTATGTACAGTCTCGTTCAAGATTCTTCGAACACTGCTGGAGACAACTGGCAACTCAAGTCCGTTTGTTAACTATAGTACGTAGTAAAAATTATGAATGAATGTAAAAGAGATCTGTGATTGGTTACTTAGTTCCCCGTTGCTTAATTAATGGTTGGGCTTTGTTGTTTCGTATTATACTTCTCTGCTGGTATATACTATTAATTTGACTTAAGAATGGATAGAGCAATGAGGCAACCTATATGAAATCATGTTTAGATAATTAAACATAAGTAGAAATCGGTAAGTATATTAAAAAACATCTTGCATCGGGCACAGCTGTGTGCAGGTTGCTTATGAGGTTGCCTGTTATCATTAATTTATACTAATATTATCTTCAAACGTTTAATAAATTTTGGGTAATTAATCCAGTTGTATGTAACCGATGCTAAACAGATTTCTTTCTAAAGACGCCGATTTCATGCAACGCAAACTGCTGTTTTAATTCGCTGTGGGACTAAGCAGAATCATCGGTTCACTGCTACTTATAGTAATAATAAAAATAATAATAATAATAATGATAATTAACGGTTTATTGAAAGAGCTTGGCAGCCAGAAGGCTGAAAATATACAGTTATACAGTTATACACATAATAATAATAATAATAATAACAATAATAATAATTAACGGTTTATTGAAAAAGTTCTGCAGCCCGAAGGCTGAAAATATACATTGGACATAAATGACTGATTACATACATTGGTGGTTTAACAAAAGCCTTCATTAGAGAAAGGTAAAGGAACATACAGTGAACATACAGATTAATGTAGGATTGTGCGTGTTGAATAGCTAACACGTATTGTAGTAACTCCCTCCCAGATGGTGTTAGGAGGGACCTCACGTGATGTAGTAGTTCCCTCAGATGGTGTTATGAGGGACCACGTGGTGTAGTAATTCCCTCACAGATGGTGTTATGGGGGACCTCACGTGGTGTAATTACCTCACAGATGGTGTTATGAGGATCCTCACGTGGTGTAGTAATTCCCTCACAGATGGTGTTATGAGGGACCTGACGTGGTGTAGTAATTCCCTCACAGATGGTGTTATGAGGGGGCCTCACGTGGTGTAGTAATTCCTTCACAGATGGTGTGATATGAGTGAGGTTTGGTCCCAGGCCTTCCTATCGTAGACGGATTAACACATCGCTAGTTGTTGTTGGGTCTCATGGGCCGTTATCACTGGGTACTTGGGACCTCACTGTGTGAAGGTTAACTTGGGTACGACTGTTACTGTTGAGTTGTTCTCACTGACTTAAGCACTGTTCACCACTGTTCACCTCTGTTTAACACTGGTTCCATTCCTTTCCTAAATGAAATTGTAACTTCTGGCGAGAACTTGTTGATATTCCGGTGGGGAGGAAGGTTCAGGGGAAGGGGTTGGTATGGGCCAACTTAACAGTTGATCTGGCTGCTCCGAGAGGAGCGCCAGGTACGTCTTGACCCTTCGGTGGTCAAGGATGTATACAGTGTGTGTGTGTGTGTGTGTTTAATAATGGCGTTGTTTAAGTGAAGGTGATGGCAATTTATCTTACCAACCATCCGCCTGATGGTGTGAATTGGTGAGGTAGCATATGCCTAATACTTTTACAAGCCTTTATCTAGCAATATCATTGTCATTCCAAGACTCTGATTATTGTAAACAGCAAATGGTATTTCTTTCGTTGAGTGACTAATCCCCCCTAAATCATTGTTTCTGACTTGTGTAGATTACATCACTTTTAGTTTGGTGTCTTTTAAAAACAAATATTCTATATTTTAAAAAATGTGTACGGTGTATCATAAATTTTTATCTTATTTACTAATTTATTATTATTATATTTTTTTATAAATACCCAATAAAATGTAAATCTAACTCTGACGTTATTGGCGGAAAGGTGACGGAGACAGGTGTTGTCAGTGCTGACTACCCTTCCACTCCCTCAATTGTAGAAGACCACTGCCAACATGAAACACCACACGCATAAAATCACTGAATGTGGAAGATTAAGCTGCATGAAGGAGGCTGGGTTTTCACCCACTGAAATTGCCCAAGAATTGGGTATTTCTCGGTCAACTGTATATTATTGGATTAAGCGATGGGAAGAAGAGGGAAGTTTAAAGGACCACCACATGACTGGAATGCCGCGCAGAACAACACCTGCACAAGTTAAAGCCACCCGGTGATTCGCTGAGGCCAACCCCTTCAGGACTTCAGTTTCAATAAGAGAGGATCTCCAATTAAATATTTCCCCTTTAAGAATGAGGCGGAGACTTCACGAAGGTGGCATTCACCAAAGAACTCCCGCCACCAAGGAGAAGTTAAGTGACCGACATCACGAGGGCAGGTTACAGTTTGCTCGACGGTATGCTGAAAAAGGGCTAGATTTCTGGGGAAGAGTAATAGTCACTGACGAAAAAACTTTCTCATCTACCTCTCACGGAAGGTTGCATTGCTGGAGGAGGAACAACACCCGATATGCTAGACAGCATTTTTATAAGGAAGCAAGGAGTGGCCATGTGACTTGCAATATTTGGGGATGGATATATTTGCACGGAGTTGGAGAGCTGATTGACATAGAAGGAAGATTCACAGCTGAACAGTATTTAGAAATACTAGAAGAAGTTATGCTTCCCTCGGTGCGTGCATACGCTTTCCCGTTTCCCGAAAACATATTTTTCATGCTCGATAGGTGTCCTATCCATACCGCATGAATTGTAACGCAGTGGTTTGCAGAACAAAGAAATTTGCATGTTTTAGACTGGCCAAGTAAGAGTTGTGACATGAACCCCATAGAAAACATTTGGCCCAATATTGTGAACGTATGAGTGTCAGCTGATGAGAGAACCAGGGTGCAGCTACAGGAGCATACACACCGTGAGTGGGAGGTGTTGAGGCGAAAACCGCAACTGATACACAATCACGTTGCCTCCGTTCCTAACAGGCTGCAGCAAGTAATCGAGAATGAAGGTGGCTGGACTAAATATTAATGTATCAGAAATAATTTTCCAATGTAATCAATGTTACATACTGAATGCACATCGAAATTAATTTTTTATATGTTAACTGAAATAAATAAAATTTTCATGACTATATGCCAAATTGTATAATAAATGTAAAGAAAACAATCTTCTAATATCCTCACTTATGCAGTATGTATTCAGGATGATTTAAGTCAAACAAATCATAACATTACACTTATAATTATTATCATATATGATAAATATATTGCATGCGAAATAATTACTATATCTACCACGGAAAAAATCAGAGAGGGAGACGGAGACAAAGAAACAACTGTATAACGACACAATTCCTGTAATATGTAATGGTCCGATCACAGCTGTCCGATCCGGCTCTTGAAGGCACCTGTGACGAGGAAATTTATCTTTCATATTTCAATCTCATAATCTCATATTTCACAAGTTCATGTCATGCCTTTCACAATATATTTATGTATTCTTGGATAACGTTTACTGTAATGGTTGTATTTGTATATATTTTTCTCTTTTCATTTATTATAACAAATGGGAAGAAATCCTTGCCAAAATACCAAACTATGTTACAACGTTACCCCACAATTATTTCATAACTTACAATAATGCTCTAACACTCAGGCACGCTTGCATAGACAAATACACATACGCACGCGCTCGTGAAGAAAGTCGATTTCAACGGAGTCTCTTGCTGTTTTTATTAATAATAAAAACATGATTACATTAATTAGTGAAATCTTGTACTGAAGGTGTAGCTAATGCGGTAGCATATGTATTGCATTGTATTGTATCCATTACGATTGTCCTCCGAGTAGACTTAGCTTATTATATATTTCAAATGACATTTCTTTCGCTAATTGCTTGTTTGCCCGCAAAAAACCTTGTTTTTATACTGGTTCATCAAAGGATCGCATTGGAAAGTCTTTCATTTCGTGAAAACTGATTAGTACCCATTTCATGAAATATAATTTAAACATAAATAAATAGATAAAAAATAAAACATTATATATAGATTTCTATTTCCAGTGCCTCACAGGGAATATAAAATAAATAATTTCATTAAATAAACTGAATAATACTGTTTCATTTATACAACTGTTTTCACAGACAAGCATTGACACACAGAGGCTAAGGCACACACGCACACATAAACACACACTAGAAGTAGCAGCGAACCGATGATTCTGCTTAATCCCACAACGAATTAAAACAGCAGTTTGTGTTGCATGAAATTAGCGTCTTTATAAAGAAATCTAATTAGCATAGGTTACTTACGACTGAATTAATTAATCGAAAGGGATTAAACGTTTGAAGATAATATCAGTATAAATTAGTGATAAACAAGCAATATCATACACAACCTGCACACAGCTATGCACGATGCATGATGTTCTTTAACATACTTACCGATTTTTACTTATGTTTAATTGTCTAAATATTATTTCATATAGGTTGGCTCATTGCTTTATCCATTTTAAAATCAAATTAACAGAATATACCAGCAGAGAAGTATAATATAATACTAAACAACAAAGCCCAACCATTAATTAAGCAGCGGGGAGCTAAGTAACCAATCACTGATCACTTATACATTCATTCATAATATTTACAACGTACTATAGGAAACAAACAGCTTTGACTTGCCAGCTGTCTCCAGCACTGTTCGAAGAATCTTGAACGAGACTGTACATGTTGCATATAACTTACCTTTAACTTCTTGTATGCTGAGTCTGACTAAGGAATTTCCAGGGAAAGAGTTAAACATATACAGAATTATATTATTACTTTTACAAGTTCAATATTTAAGTTTTGAGGGTACCTATCATACTGTAAAATAGCTTTTATGGTATTGATTAACATATATAAGACCGTCTATAATTTTAAAGTAAAATTGATGATATTATATTATTCTTAAACCAGTGGGTGATATTACCTCATTGTTGCGGTATGCGGTCACCACATCCACATGAAATAAGGTGAGCCATACGTTGAGTCATTACCGCGTAACAGACGAAATATCCTCACTTTGGCATCACTGTTCCCACGATACCTCGGTCTAGTAGTCAGATGGGAAACTGGTATCATAGTCGGATGGGAGACTGGTTCCGAAACGGTGCTCATTGGGGTAGAATAGCTTCGTGAAGCAATTTCTTCTCCTGGTGTCAAGCTGAAGCAAAGTGATGGTTATAGGGGTAGAGTGTGGAGGAGACAGAGTCGTCACAATATATATATATATATATATATATATATATATATATATATATATATATATATATATATATATATATATATATATATATATATATATATATATATATATATATGTAACCGGTCGGAATTTACTGGACTTTAATTTCTCACTTGACTTGGGGTTTATTAAAAATTAATAGATGGTAATGGCAGTGGAAGCGCCCCTTTGAGAAAAATCCCGAACCAGCACAAGAACACTTAAATCTACTAAACAAAATGAATTGTCCGTGACCCGTGGAAGGATAGCGTCTGTGACTGGGATGAATGAGACACACTGTAAAATTTAGACACTTATATTCCCTCCAACACTACAAACACAATCAAATAATGGTACACCAATATGTGCACCTCTTAACTTGAACTTAAAACACTACTCTGGGGAATAAAAGTTATACCTGATATAGAAATTATTAGAAACTCAGGCAACAATAAATTTGAAGTAGTAAGAAATGTTGCTTGCACACATGAAACAGGCCTTAAGGGCTTTCACAAAATAATATCAGTCACTTAGGAAATGGTATTAAAAAAATAGAAATTAAATACTCTACAAGGAATAGGCCTTAAGGGCTTTCAACAAAATAATATCAGTCCCTGAGGAAATGGTAATAAAAAATAAGAAATTAAATACTCTACAATGAATAGGCCTGAAGGGCACTCAACAAAATTATATCACCCCAATAGATGCACTCTTCCTAACCTAACTTAAACACTACTCTGGGGAACAAAGGTTGTACCTGAGATCAGAATTATGGAGAAAAATTAGATGCATTAAAAGAATCAAATCACAGTATCACTCTGGTTCCACTTAATGACACAACCATTCAAACAATACTATCAAAATTATTTAGGAACTATTAAACTACACACGTGAAGATAATATCAGTCTGAGAAATGGTATTAACTACACCCGTAATAAGGGAGATAAAATGTTCCTTTAGGTTTCTCCTAGAGTCCTAGACTCACGGTCTCAGTGTGTGACCATTAATTTACTCAGATAGCCTCAGTGTACTCCCAGTGCGTCCATAAAGCGGAAGGGAGTGAGCCAATCAGACCTTGTGCAGTTGAGAGGAGCTTTAGCTTCCCGTTAGCAAGAGGGTTTCACTAAGCGGCTCGGGACATGTGGTGTTGTGAGCCGACGTCAGCTGGGCCCCCAGACGGCTAGATTCCCTCAAGAGATCCTTTGCTACCCCGCTAAACAATGACAGGCCTACTCTGATCGGTCCAATGGCGACAATCGCCACCCTCAATCATCAACGGCAGTCTCAAACGGCAGTCAATCTCTCGCAGTCAAACTCCGGTCAACTCCGGTCAAGTGGGTTCTGACGGAAACCCTGAAATGAACTCACTGTTAGCTCTAGTTTACTTTACCACTGCCCTATCTAACCCTGTCTGAGATCGAATGAGACTTACTTGTTATACTGCAATAGCGCAGCACAGGTGACTAGGCCACGTGACTATTTCTGTGACGGACGCGCAGGGACGTCTTGTATGTCTGACTGCTCCCCGTGACTGAGGACTAACCAGCGTCGCGTCTCCTCTCAAGGCGTTAGCTTAGGCCTACGTGACATATTTTCCGCCAAACTAATAACTCCTTGGGACACCCGTAACATTATTCAGACTGATAAACGATCTATAATAATTTCAAATTCAATAATAGTCCCTTAACTTCATGAATCGCATCATTAATAATTCGGTAAATTACATTTAATATCATATAGGCCTAGTTCCGCAATCTCTCGCTATGAGCAGGCAGCGCTCTCTTCCCTCAGATGACCTTGAACGCTCAGTATCGCTAATGGCGGGGCATTTGAAATTACTCTGAAATTTCTGAATATTACAATCGACCCCCCTAAAAAAAGACAGCACTGTCCTCATGTGCTGAGAAAACATGCATACGACCCCCCTAAAAGAAAACAGCACTGCCCTCAGGTGCTGAGAGAACAACTTAGAAGCCACCTTCAACTCTGTACTATTCCCCTCGCAGCCAGCAACTCCATTTCTTCCAAGCCCAACTCAAAACCAACCAGAACATCACGCTCCCCTTTTGCCTGGCCCTTAACTAGAGAACCAATGTCAAAATTAATACCAGCCCAAAACAAACATGCTCTCCTTTGCCTGGCCCTTGAACTAAGAAAACCAATGTCAAAATTAATACCAGCCCAAAACAACCATGCTCTCCTTTGGCCTGGCCCTTGAACTAAGAGAACCAGTGTCAAAACAATACTCAGTCCATCTCAAACATGCTCTCCTTTGCCTGGCCCTTGAGCTAAGAGGAACCAGTGTCAAAACAATACTCAGTCCACGTCTCCGAACCTCATGCCGGCAGACCAACCCTCTGACAATGTACCAGTCCATATTAGTGAGGCCCTGGACATTACAACCGTACTCTCAATCCCGCTCATGACAGCAACCACTACTCAACGCACATCTCTGACCTAACCATCTCTCCAATCCCCTCTGCCCTACTCACAACTCCTCCAACTCACCCTCTACAACCTGCCTTTTCTCATTACCATGCACCCTAAACTGTAATTTGTCGGCTTCGTCTTTCAGTTGGAGGCTCGATCGACCTCTCTGAACTACTTCTCTTCATCTTGCTCATCTGGGGTGGGGGCTCCTCGTCTTCATCCTCAGATTCATCCATCGCTGGGTCTCCCGGATGCCTTAGGGTTGGAGCAGCCTTCAAGTTGCTCCGGTTTTCCACTCTCGCTTCCAGGTCTTCTCCCCCACTGGGCTCAATGCGATATAAACCAGGCCTTGGATTTAGGACCTCAACAATGTGCCATCTCGTATCAAACCAATGGTTTTGCAGCTTACACCGGCCTATTTTTACATTGTTCCTCCGCAAAACCTCCTGGCCCACTTCCCAGCTACTCTCGTGGACTTTCTCTTCTCTTTTTCTTCTGTTTATTTCCTTACGTCTCCCCACATTGATCTCCACTGCTTCCTGCAATCTTCGTTGCCGGTCTCTAATCACCATCACCCACTCATCTACCGGCTCTGGGTCTACTTCCGGCCTAAGGTCAAACGGCAGGTTTGGTTCTCTCCCGTAAAACAACAGGAATGGGGAAAACCCTGTCGTGGCATGCGGAGTCGCGTTATATTGTGACACCACTGCCTGCAGATGCTCTGGCCACCTATTCTTTTCCTCTTCCTCGAGGGTGGCCAGCAGACCGTGCAGGGTTCGATTGAACCGTTCCACCATACCATTTCCCTGTGGGTGATATGCTGACGTCCTTATTTTCTTCACCCCAAAGGTGGCACAAGTTTGTCGGACCAATGCACTGCCAAAATTCCTTCCCTGGTCGGTCAATAGTCGCTCAGGTGCACCCACTGCCAGGAAGATCCGATTCACCAGGATCTTTACAATCGTCGAGGCTTTCTGGTCTTTGGTGGGAAAGGCCCAAGTGTAACGACTGTATATGTCAACCATTATCAGGACATTCTCCAATCCTTGCCGCTTGTCCAGCAAGGTGAAATCTGCGGCCAGTGTCTCTAATGGTTTGGCCGCTTCAATCGTCCCTAAATGCAGTTGGGGTTTCGGCACTTCATCTTTTGCTACTCCACACCTCTCGCAGCTGGCTATGTAGTCTCGCACTGTTTCTCCCATGCCTGACCAGAAACCTCGCTCCTGCACCAGCGACAGGGTGCGATCTCGCCCCTGATGCCCAAACTCGTCGTGGCAGGCTCTAGTCAAAGCCTCCTGCAAGTTTGGAGATAACACTGGCACCTCCCTCCATAGATTCTTCCCTTCGGGTCTTCTATGCCAGACAACATCTTCTCTTACGATCAGGGATTTCCTAGCTCGGTACATCTTGCGGAAATCATCATTTTGGAGCTCTACCTGTACCTCATCCTCCGGCAGCTCTCCCACCAACCATCTTCGCAGTTTTGTCATATAGTCCATGCCTTCTTGCTCCTTACGCAGCCCATCCATCGTCCACAGTTCCTTCCTTCCTGCCCCGTTCTCCTCTAGTACATGCATCGCTGTATACTCTTCTTCACTATCTTCCTCCTGTTCCGCCGGGATTCTAGATAGAGTATCCGCCACAATGTTGTTCTTCCCCGGCTTGTACTCTATAGTAAAGTTAAACTGCTCGAGATCCGCATTCCACCTACTTTCCACGGCACCTAGTTTAGCCTTCTCGCGGTGACTGAGTGGGTTGTTATCTGTATAGACTGTGAAATGTTTCCCTGCCAAATAATCCCTGAATTTATCAACTACTGCCCATTTGAGTGCTAACATCTCTAACTTACGAGAACTATAGTTGTTCATGTTACGTTCTGATTTCCTCAGGCCCCGACTCGCATAGCACACCGGATGCAACCTGCCATCCTTCCGCTGGGACAGCACCGCACCTAGCCCACGAAAACTTGCATCTGTTTCTAATATAAACTCCTGAGTGAAATCTGGGCAAGCCAACACTGGTGTCTGCGTCACCTTGTCTTTCAGTTTCTCAAAAGCCTGTTGCTGTTCCTCTCTC